GGTGGCCGACGTGATCTTTGGCGATTGCGGATTTGACTAGCATATCATCAATGTAAACCTCTATGGTACGGCTGAGCTGACTTGCAAACATCTTATTGACTAACCGTTGGTATGTGGCGCCTGCGTTTTTTAGTCTGAAAGGCATGACTTTATAGCAATATGTTCCACAATCGGTGATGAATGCCATTTTTTTCTCTGTAGTCGGGATGCATGAATATCTGATTGTACCCGGAGAAGGCATCCATTAAGGACAGCAGCTGGTTTCAGGCTGTTGATTCGACCAGTCGGTCGATGTGAGGAAGTGGGAAGCAGTCCTTTGGGCAAGCTTTGTTGAGATCGGTGAAGTCGACGCATACCCTCCATTTGTCGTTCTTCTTTTTGACCACGATGGGGTTAGTCAACCAGTCGGGATATTGAACCTCGGTAATCAATCCAGCGCCGAGTAGTTTATACACTTCGTCAATTACAGCTTGTGCCTTCTCGGGACCGAGTTTCCTGCGTTTTGTTTAATTGGTTTAAATGTAGGATCTACGTTTAGTTTATGCGACGTGATTCTGGTGTCGATTCCCTTCATGTCCTCCATGAACCAGGCAAACAAGTGCACATGGTCGCGTAAAACTTTGACGAGCTCTGTTTTTATATCTTTTGCGAGGTCACCGCCAATGCTCGCAGTTCTTTCCGGGTGTTGCTCGTCAATGCTTACATGTATAACTTGCTTGGGTTTCGGTCTTTTGTGGAAGGGAAGACGCGGATCTAAGTCTTCGTTCACCATGCAGGTAGTTGCCGTTCTGATTTTTCTTTCGCTGAGAAGACACATTCGTGCTGTTGATTGGTCACCCCGTAGTGTGAACGTACCAGTAGGAGTCGGGAATTTGACGCATTGATGTACGTCGAGATGACGGCCTTCATGGTGTGGATCTATGGAGTTCCGAGGATGACGTTGTAGATGGTCGGGCAGTTGATGACTGCAAATTCTGCCTTCTTGGTGATGCCACCGACGTAAGTGATTAGACGTATCGAACTGTAGGAGGTGTCACCTGCGAATCCTGTTAGTGGTTTTTTTGTCGTTGTTATCTCGTTATCATTAATGTTCATCCTTGACAGCGTGTCTTTGAAGATGATATTGATAGTGCTACCGTTGTCAACCAAAGATTTGGTGACCGTGCTTTCTTGTATCTGCAAAGTTATGACCAGTGGGTCAATGTGCGGCGCGTGCGAACTGTGCAGATCCTCTGCTGTGAAAACTATTGGCGCTTCGTGCCTCAGGGCGGATGGGTCTCGCTTTGCTTCCGCCGCCTTTTCTTCGTGTTGTTTTATTTCTTCGAGCGAACTGGGGTCTTTGAATATTCCTCCTAAGATCATGCATGTACCGTTGAATGTCGTGTGGTCGTTTTCTCCCGTGGGTGGTAGGATCGCGGTGCTAGGGTTAACGTGCTCGCCGAGAACAGGTGTCTCGGTGTGCTTGGTGGTGTCATCATCGTTGTGGATGAGATTGCTGTTGTCGATCAGGAGACTCATCGCTTCGGCTGGTTCTTGCTAGTTTTTTAAGAAATTATTCTCCTATTCCTCACAGACGGCGCCAACTGTTGAACCAGAAAATCACCACTAGGGTTTTGATTAACAGTTGTGGGTTTTGGAGAATAAGATCTTTTATTAATAGCAATAAGCGAAGCGATTACAAAGAAAGGGATAACCGAGTGGTTATGCCGAAGTGAAAAAGGTGTTTCCGAAGTAAGCTAGAAAGCGTTGGAGTCTCTGGGTTTAGCTCTGCTGCTCTCTAAAATGTATGAGTTGTCCTTCTTGGCTTCGGAGTCTTCTTATTTATAGGAAAAGGAGGTCGGTTGCTCCGAACTCTTTTTCCTTTTTGCCTTTGGTGAATATTTTCATATTTGCGATATGGAAATATTCTTTATTAAAAATATTGAAATTCTCCCTTATCCTTCGAGTTGGTCCGATGTTTCTGGTCTTTCAAGAGATTTTGTGCTCATTTCCCCTCTAACACTAATTAATAAATTTAATTTTTAATTGATTTTCGTCTTTTTTAATCAAAATTTCCAAATTCGAGTTTATATCATAAAAATATCCAGATTACTAAAAAGAAGGTAATTAACATAAAATCACAAAAACATTGAACCTAATTATTTTCTTAAACTAATTTTAATTTGATCGTTAGTTTACTAATATTTTTGACTAACTTAATTGATTATGTGTCCACAAGTAAAAATATAAATCCTTTAAACCTTTTGGAACTCTATATATATATATATTAAAACAAAGTTTATAAAACAATTTAGATCAAATCTAGATCGATCGACAGCCGTACATTTCTCTCTACAACTTTCGTTTTAGGTGTCTAATCTCTTTCAAAAAACCAGCCATGGATGATTCGAAGTTATAGTTTTATTGAAATTTTTGTTGGAGAATAAATTATTACTTTGATTCTAGATATTGGTTCTACTTTTATGTTCGATTTGATTGAATGTGGTTTTGATTTGTGTGTGTGAGAACAACTAGGACAAATGACTGGACTTTTCATTGACATTGAAAGACAGATTTTCCTTGGAGCCACTGTCACCAACCGAAGCTGCAGCTAGGGCCAAAGAATATGCTAAAGAGATTATTAAAACTAAACCAGCTCAGGAATGGGCTATTGTGAAAACCTAAGATGACATAGAAGCATGTTTCTTTGGATCCAATTTGAGATCGCGTCTTATAGATTTCCATAGAAGATAAGAGAGAGTGGAATTTCTTTGAGACGAGAGAGAGCGATGAATAATTCCATCTCGAGACACGTGCAAGAATGATCTCTGTGATCTTGTCTGGAAGTGAAGAAAACGATGACGGCGGCTGAGGAATTGTTCTTTGCGTTAGTTCAGCTTCTTGGGAGGTCATGATCGGCCGAAACTTGCAGTAGTGGGCCTAGTGGCTGCGTAGAGGAAAGGATATTAATCTAGGGTTAATTAAACACGGTGGGTTTTAAGAAAAACCAACTCATCTTCTACCTATTAATTGAGAATGTAGTTTAATGAAAAATGCTGATTTGTTTTAATTTGATTGGTTAATATGTTTAGTTTGAGCAAATTTAATGTGACATGGAAATGATGATGTGTAATGATGATGTAATTGTGACATGTCACTTTTTAGTACACATGGCTTGTGACATGACATTATTTAATATATAAATAAAATTTGATGTTAAAATCTTGATACAAAATTAAAGTATTGAAATTTTTGACAAAATTTTGGAAAAATTATATTTTTGTCAAATAGATTTGAAATTACATTTCGACACAAAATTTTTGTCAGAAAAATTTACAGATTTCAAGTATTTAGCGGAAAATTTGTGACAACCTATTTAGCACAATTTTTTGATATCTCCCGAAATCAAATTAAAATACTCTAAAATAAATGTTTTGGTGGGAAAGTTACAATTCATGTTTTTGGCGGAAAATTTCTGAAATCGGGTTTTCACAGAAATTTCTTGAAATTATATTTTTAAATAAGTTTTTTGACGAAAGATATACGGTTTCACTTATATAGCAGGAAATTCGTAAAATCAATATTTTGACCATTACTTTTTGGAATCAGATTTTTAATGTAAACTTTTTGGCGAATTTTTTTTATGGATTCACTTTTTGGCGGGAAATTCACAAAATCAAAATTTTGATACAATGTTATTAACTCATATTTTTGACGTAATTCTTTTGGTGCAAAAGTTACTTATTCATGTTTTTGGCATGAAATTTGTGAAATCGGTTTTTTGATAGAAATTTTTGAAATCTTATTTTAAGTAAGTTTTTAGTGGAATATTTACAAGTTCAATTGTTTGTTTGAAATTTGCGGCATCAGATTTTTAGAAGGAGAATTTTTCACTTTTATTATCATCTTATTTTGTCTCACTATAAATAAAAATCAAAAAATTATATTATATGTGAATGTATTTAAATTATATAGTGAAAATTACGAACCAGAAATAGGACGTAAAGTGACGGAAAAAACTATAAAAAGATGAAAAATATAAATAAAAAATAGAAAGCAACGAATAACAAAGAATTATTTTATTTTATTTTACGATTTTTTTTAATATTTTAAGTTTTATGTATGTTTTATTCTTTTACTATGGCCCAATTTATCAAATCTATTAAAACATTTTTTCACAAACAAAAATTTCTTACAATATATTACCAAACAGGTCAATTACTTATCTATTATTAATAATTAATTTTTTATAAAATTTTCATACTCGCACATATGTGCGGGCCAATTACCTAGTAATATATATTTTCGTACCATTCCAAAAAAAATCAAATAAATAAATAAAAAATGATACAGAAAATCAAAACTAATTTAGATATCATATTATTAATTGAGAGTTATGATGATTGATTAGTTTTTACCCTTTTATGAAAAGAATTCATTTACCCTTAATGAAATTAACTAATTAATAAATTTAATTTTTAATTGATTTTTGTTTTTTTTAATCAAAATTTACAAATTCGAGTTTATATTATAAAAATATCTAGATTACGAAAAACAAAAGGTAACTAACATAAAATCACAAAAACATTGAACCTAAATATTTTCTTAAACTAATTTTAATTTGATCGTTTAGCTTACTAATATTTTTGACTAACTTAATTAATTATGTATCCACAAGTAAAACTCTAAATCCTTTAAACCCTTTTGGAACTCTATATATATTAAAACAAAGTTTATAAAACAATCTAGATCGAATCTAGATTGATCGGCAGCCGTACATTTCTCTCTACAACTTTTGTTTTAGGTATCTAATCTCTTTCAAAAAACCAGTCATGAAAGATTCGAAGTTACGGTTTTATTGAAATTTTTGTTGGAGAAAAAATGGTTACTTTGATTCTAGATATTGGTTTTACTTTTATGTTCGATTTGATTGAATATGGTTTTGATTTGTGTGTGTGAGAACAACTAGGACAGATAACTCAGACCAAGCAAGGGACTTTTCATTGACATTGAAAGACAGATTTTACTTGGATCCATTTTCACCAAACAAAGCTGCAGCTAGGGCCAAAGAATCTGCTAAGAAGATTATTAACGTTAAGACATTGATCAACAAAAATGTTCAGCCTTACGTTCAGAACGACCTCCATTTGAGAGCATTGTATCTCCGTTTTGATCTCTAATACCATTATATCCAATAGGTTTAATGAAGAGAAATAAAGTCTCAAAAAATTCACCAGCAAGCTCTTCCAAACCATCGCCAACATAGGTTTTTTTTTTCTTCTTTAGATTTTTTTTTCTTTTGGTTTCTTGGTGAATAAGTTAGAGTGTTTTAATGCATAAAATTATTTCTAATGTTTAGATTGATCTAAGATTGTTGTTGCTTGTGTGGAAACTGGACTATGCGGCAAGGTCAAAGAGCAGCCCAGATGCTGAGAAGTATTACTTATAGACAGAGTCACATAAACGGTCTTAAATTTGAACAATGTTCTTGCCAAGCTTAGTTAAAGAAGCAAGATTTTCTTTGTAATGTATTGTTGTTAATGATATTATTATTGTTATTCACGCTCTGTCTTTGTTCCTCCTTCAAATCGAGTATTTCTAATTTCAGTTTCAAGTTTTAATCAAAATTGATATATTATCTATGTTTATTTAAAATTTTAAATATAGAATTGAAACCAATTCTTAGTCTTGCTCTAGGCCATTCAATCTTTCATGTTGTCTCTTTTGAACTTTATCATCAAAGAGTTTTTATCTTATCTTTTCCTCTTGGGGAGACATATATATTTTCACAAAGTAACCAAAATACTGACCTAAATGGTCAAGTAGGCATGGGTTCCCACTAAATGTGTTAAGTGTGGGCAATTAGGACATAAGGCTTGATGTCTACAACGATCTCCAGTGCCCAAGGTAATAGTCCTAGGTAAGACTAACCCTCCATGTGAATTGAGATCGGTCGCAGGTCTGAATATGATTCATAGCTCACCGATCTCTGACTCTACTACCCATAACTATGTATTTGATCCTCAAACATATCTTTCTCCCAATCCAAGACACAGTTAAACATACCGCAGTGGATACTATTGATGATTTGATTTGGTTCAAAAATCCATTGCTATGTTATGTGTGGTGGTGAAGTTTACTACCTAATTTCTGAGATCTTCCTAGGCAATTACAAGCAATGGAAGTAGAGAATATTGGAAGATGGCAATGTTGAGTATAAGAAGGAGGTTGTTTGCTCGCTGGAGTACTCATACCTCTTCTTGGATTCGGTTTTGATGAAAAATGTGGTTTTATGAATTTTATTGAAAATGCAGGTTTGCGGGTTTGACGACAAAATGCAATTTTGTAAGTTTGACAAAAACTACTTAATTTTAGAAATTTAGCCATAGAATATGATTTTATGATATTGGGGGAAAGCATAATTTTTGGTTTTGTTAAAAAATGTGGGTTTACATTTTTGGCTGAAAAATTATGGTTTAATAGAAAATGCTATTTTTACAGTTTATACCAGAATTTTCGGTTTTGGTACAACAACATGATTTTACGAAAAAATGCGACTTTTTATTTCAATAGAAAAAATAGTTTTGACAAAAAAAAAACTTGATTTTGTGGTTTAAATTAAATGATATTTTTATCTGTTAATTTTTGATATTCAAATGCTGCATCAAATTTCTATTTTTTAGCATTTTAAATATCCAAATTTGGAGATATTATAGAATTTGTATTCAGATAAAATATTCATATACTGATTTAAAAATATTTAAAAGAATAATATTTGAGAGCATTTGCATCCAAATAAGTATCTGGAGGCAAAAACAAATAAAGCCTAAGAATCTTAATTACAAACAAATAAAATTTCTCTTGCATTATAAAACATAACATTTTAAAATATTTGTTACAAAACTTAACAAAAAATCCGCTAATAAAAATATTTTTTTTATAAAATCAAGCATAAATAATTTTAAGAATATAAAACCATAATGTTAAAATAGTTTATATAATCTAATAAAAAATTTTCGTTTGGGCCACAATTTTAGATTTAATAATATAAGCTAATTTTTTTTAAAACAAAAGATTACTATAAACCGATTTTTGCTATGACCCAAAAATATTTTATAAAAAGAACCTCGTGCACTTAAAAAAAGTGTTGAAGAAAAAAGTAAACAACAGGACAATTAAATGGATTATAAAATATTTTCCAAAGTTTTTTTTCTTTGGTGTGCTTCTTCGTGGCTAATATCAAGAAACTGTGAATCAGGAAAATAAATTTCTAGAATGGTGGACTTTACAAATTACAATGAGACAGAGATCTACGTAAGTGAAGAAGAAGGGAGATGTCTCTTTGGAGATACAGTATCTGATATAGTTGGAACATACAGAAAAAAAATTAGCATAATAGGCTAATAGCATTTTCATTGTTAGGTTTTCATATGGGTTTTTCGTTTTATGGAAGAGTATGTTAAAAGAGTCCCTCACATATATATTAGTATATAGGGTATTTGTAGTAGATAACCATATTAGTTTTCTAACCATATTAGAGCATAGTTAAATTAAAACAGTTTTTTCGTTCGATTTCAGATGCCGGAAAGGACGCAGTGATCAACAAGCTCCGTGAGGTTAAAATCTGACTGTTCTATCTTAGTTTTGCATGTTTAAGTGTTATTTATCTTTTGTCTTAATTGGTTATTATTGATCGAGAAAGGTTTCTATCACTAAACCAACCATATCTTGCTTATAATCATTTGAATTCTCTGGTGACAATTAGAGAAATTTGAGTGAATGGTACTTATTTGGTCTTTAAAAATAATAGAGTTTATCAACAGAACTGATGGATTTATAGTATCGAAATCATGAAGTGTTTATGTTCACCATTCAACAAAACTGGTGGATTCAAAGCTCACCATTTATGTTCAAACTGTGAAGTGTTTTGCTATTTGTTTGTCAACAAAGATGGAAGATTTATAGTATAGAAACCATGGAGCTGGAATAATATAATGCTATACTATTTTTTTACAGTTTTAATTAAGACAATGTCTTTTGTATTGCTTTATAAACTGAAGCTTTCAATTTGGGATAAAGATGAGAGACGAAAAGCCTGCTTGCAATCACAATCTTTTGGTGAATAGAAATTTCGTTTTATGAGTTTGTTTGTTCTAAATAATATGTTGTACTATACTAGATAAACGAATCAAAGTGTGTACTATATACTACTATTTTGGTTTTATGGCTATGGTTGATGTTAACTCTGATTTTGAGGTGGATTTTCGTTTTCGTTTGCTGTTGTTGGATCTCTCAATTAGCTTATGTTTGGGGATACAAACTAAGAGATTAAAATCTTGTTTGATGTACTAGTTTCATTTTATAATTCTTATTGCTGTAAATACTAATTATGTTATATTACCTTTTTTAGGTTATCACATCTTATGTAATGTATGTGATCAATGAAAAATGTTGGCTCACCACAACGGTTGTGTTGTCCCAAAAGCAAATTTGTTGGCGAAGAAGATAAACGAATTGGAGGCTGAAGAAATATGGCTGAGAAATGAAGAATATGTTCTTTTTAAGTTATATAGAATCTTTGTGTACTATACTATCCTTTTGTATTTTGTTCTATTTTGTATCTTGCGAAAAATAGTATCCTATATTTTTGTACTGCAATTATTTAAACTCTTTTTAATATTTATCAATTCAATGAAAATCATTTTTATATGGATCAAAAATTATAAATGTATTAATGTATAACAATTGAAAAGATGTAAAATAGTAGGAATGGACAAATGGCTATGATATCGTTTACAATCATAAAGCTAAATCATTATAATGTTATACTATTTTTTATCAGCTGACCACGGATAAATATTATATTATAGACAATATTCATATAGTATAGATTGAGTTTATTTATTTTTTGATTTTGCTTTTGATTTGTATGTTGTATAACAAAGAAACTGTATAACTGAGTAAAACTTATGGTGGATCGATAAACTATATATAACTTTGGTTTAAGTTCGTGGATTTAGGTAAAATAAATACTGATTTTGGTTTAGTTTTAAATTACGTAAGTTTATTTTCAAGGATTTATAGTAGATTAAAAATTACAGTAGATAACATCGTATGGTTATGTTCGGGGATTTGGGTATAATAAATAGTGGTTTAGTATAAAAATTAAGGGTAGGCACAAAAACCATAACTGAAAAAATCAAATCATACCAAACCAAAAAAAGTGATATGGTGTGGTTATGGTTAAACCTAAAAATCTATTTGGCCAACATTTTTTATAGCTTTGGTTTAGGTTTGGTTTGGTTAAAAACCGTCAAACCGAAAAATTTTTCGATTTTTAAACTAAATTTTAAATAATTTATATTTTCCTAGTTTCTTAATTTAGTTTAAGTACATATTTTATTATTGGGCTTAATTATCTTTATAATTTACTAACTTAACTCATAAATTTAAAATATAGTATTTATAAAAAATATCTACATATAAATAATAAAGTAAAACTTAATTTTTCAATAAAAAACGTGATTAACTCTTTTTCTTCACATTCAAGTCTTCTAGTTCTAGTTCCAAATTTATAGGTATTAAATTTTAATATACCTTTGCTTATTGTTTTAAAATTATTGATTTTGAAAGATTTAATAATTTGTTTGTTTCTCTGCTTTGAAATCTGTTCTTATTGATGGATTTTTTTTATGATTTAGATTCTATTTTTTGAACTTATTATCTTATTTCACTCATATCTATTATTATTATTTCCATTAGTTTGAATCAAAAATTTTTTTAATAGTATAATTCCTAAAAACCGAAACCAAACCATACCAAACCAAACCGTAAGAAATCAAACCATACCGAACCGAAATATATATGGCTTTTATATGGTTTGAATTTTTGTAAAACCGATAAAGCGTAAAACCGAAGAAACCGAACTGAAACCAAACCAAAAACCGAAGTGCCCATCCTAATAAAAACTCAAGTTCAACTTATAAGAGAACTAGGGTTTGTGAGTTTAAAGAGAGATCATTATTAGAGTTGAGCCGGAGTTTGAGAGATATAAGGTAGTTTAGGTCGTCGGAATAAGAACGCCGACCTAGACTTTTAAAGAAAGTAAATCGAGAGCTAAGAACAATAAGATTGCTTAGTTTGCCATAGGTCTCGAAAGAGTATTTTTGGATGATCTGAGAAGTCGAGGACTTTTCATATATATAGCCGATCAGGTCAGTCTTCAATGTATATTCGGAATAGGAAAGTCTTCTTGCCGATAAGAAGGAACTTCCTTTTTTTTCGGGTTTCCTTGATAAATGGAAGATTTCTATTTATTTAGCCGACCTGAAACTTGTAAGATGGACCGACCAGAATTCATATTGGGCTTGCAGAGATAGTATGAATCTCATCTCTAACAGTAAGCCCCCCCCCCCCCCCCCCCCCCCCCCAAGAAGCGAAAAGGGG